AGTTAGCGTAGTGAACGAGCTAACCTGAAGGCAAGTGAGCGTAGCGAACGAGCTAACCTGAAGGCAAGTGAGCGCAGCGAATGAGCTCCAACCTAAAGGTGAGTGAGCGTAGCGAACGAACTTCAACCTGGAGGCGAGTTAGCGTAGCGAACGAGCTAACCTGAAGGCAAGTGAGCGCAGCGAACGAGCTCCAACCTAAAGGTGAGTGAGCGTAGCGAACAAACTTCAACCAGGACGTGATTGAGCCATGCGAACGAGATAATCTTGAAAATTAAGAAGTTAAACGGGGCAAAGCCCGCGGGTTACAGCTAGTCTATTATAAATGAGAAAGTTTGGATGTATGGATGTATGGATGGATGTATGGATGTATGTTTGTGACAAGTGAACGCGAAAAATACTGGTCGGATTGGGCTGAAATTTGGCATGATGATAGCTCACATTCCCGATTAACATATAGGCATATTCTTAGTTCAAAAATCCTTTCGGGCTCCGCCCCAGTGGCTCTGGAGTTTCCCATGTTAACCTTATGAGAAATGGAATTATTGAATCTTAACAGCTGTTTCAATTAAACAAGTTGGTTCTGTTCTATGATGTTCAATGGCATTAAAGTTACAAGGATTACCAACAGGGTGCAGCACTATTATTTCTTTTACATTTATGACAACAGCTAATTTGCAACCAAAAGGTGAGTGAGAGTAGCGAACGAACTTCAACCTGGAGGCGAGTTAGCGTAGCGAACGAGCTAACCTGAAGGCAAGTGAGTGCAGCGAACGAGCTCCAACCTAAAGGTGAGTGAGCGTAGCGAACAAACTTCAACCAGGACGTGATTGAGCCATGCGAACGAGATAATCTTGAAAATTAAGAAGTTAAACGGGACAGAGCCCGCGGGTTACAGCTATTTGAATATAAATATATCTTCTCTAGCTGCATTACGTCCAAGTACTGAAACAGTGGTGCAGCTGAGTCAAATTTCTTTACACCACAAATAGTTTTTAATGTAAGCTTTTGCATTATTACAATTGGTTTAAGTATTGTTGAAAACGTCCCTCCCCAATGAATTAAACCATACTTAAGAGTAGATTCAAACCAGGATAAATAGCGTTCTAAGAAGTTTAGGAGTAATAAACTGTCTCAAATGAAAGAAATTATAGTTAATTTTTCTACGTTTTTTACATAGTTGATTAACATGTGTATGCCATTTTAAATCTGAATCTATATGAAGGCCAAGATACTTGACCGAATCAACAAAATTTATTTTTGTACAGCAACAATCACGAAAACAAGTAACTAAATGACAACGTAGATCGATCTCTTCTTTCAACGACTCTGTCAAATGAGGTTTGTAAGTAAATATCATTGCATTAGATTTAGAAGTATTGACGATTAATTTGTTTCTTATCACCCAATTTGATATTACGTCCAAATCATTATTAATTTTCATCCTCAGTAAATCATAATTGTTAGCACTGCATACTAAAGATGTATCATCAGCAAAAGCATATATCTTCGATTTTAAATCCATTGATAACATGTCATTAATATAAATTATGAATAAAATTGGTCCAAGCACTCCCCCTTAAGGGACGCCAAGCCTTTGAGAACATACATCTGAGTAAACGTTTTTTATTTTAACCATCCGTTTTCTTTCATTTAAAAAAGTCTCAAACCACTTAAAACTATTTCCCTGAATTCCATATAACTTTAGTTTATGTAATAATATGTCTTGATTAACTAAGTGAAATGCCTTAGTAAAGTCAAGATAAACTCCTATTGTTGGTTTACGCTCATCAACATGATTAACTATCTCGCTTATATGTCTTTCAACTGCTAGGTCAGTATTTTTACCTTTCATGAACCCAAATTGATTATTTGAAAATAAATTGTTATCTGAAAAATATTTAACTAATTGGCTTTTCACACAAGTTTCTAACAGCTTAGCAAAGGTATTTAAAAGTGATCGGTCGGTAATTATTCATTTGCAATGGATCAGCTGCCTTATATACTGGAACAATGAGTGCTGTTTTTAGACTAGAAGGAAAGTAACCTAGATTTATACATAAATTAAAAATGTGACGTAATATTGGGACAAAAATCTTAACATTTTCTTTTATAGTATTTATGGAAATACCATCAAAGCCAACAGACTGTTTATTTGGTTTGCTTAAGATTAAACTTTCTAATTCTACCTCAGTAATTTCAGATAAACGTAACCTTGAGCTGCACGCTAGACCGATATCCGGCATGGCGGGGAATCCCGGCCCATACAATTCTCTAATCAGCTTATCCGGCATACCAGTAAAATTGTTATTTGAATGAGTCAGCAACTATTTTTTCATTACCCTCAACCTGTACAATTTCATCATCTATATTAATCGATGTTAGTTCATTTTTTGACTTTCTCATAATAGATTTGCATATATTCCAATAAGACTTTGATGCAGCCCTTTACTGCTTCAATTTTAGATGAGTAATAATTAATTTTTTCCCGTCTTTTCAAATTAGAACATTCTCTAGAGAGTTCTTTATATCTATTAAACAAATGTATGTCATAGTGCTTTTTCAATCGAGAGTGAAGTCTGTTTTTTTCATTTATCTTTTTAATTAGTGTGTCCGATATCCATGGAGTTCGATGCCTATTTTTACTGTTAATAGGCCTTAAAAAACTTGATTGCTCAATACATTTATTATAAATATCGTAAAAAACTGTTAGAGATTTATCAACATCCTCACAATCAAACACTGGCATCCAGCTCACTTCAGCCAACCTTCTTTTTAAAATTGAATGATCTACAGCCTTGACAAACTCCTCTTTCAAAGCACTATCACAACTTGTTACGCAATTTACATTAACTCCAGCATGATCAGTAAAGTCATAGTTTTCTAAATTACTATGAAAAATTAAATTAGTCTTACTTCTGATGAATACATGGTCTAAACACTTTACCCAATTTTCTCTCCCCCAAGTTGGCTCATTTATAAACGACTCAAAACCAAATGAGTTCATTATACTTAAATAATCAATGACACTGTTATTTTGTTCTAAAATGCATAAATTTATATCTCCTAACATAATAGCTGTGTTTTTACAATTACTCAAAATACGTTGCAAATCATTGCGGAAAAAATAAAAATCATATTTATAGTTTCTATACAAAGCTATTAAGTCAATTTCAAAAGGTTTATCATTTATGGTAAAAACTAATGTCAGTTTAATTAATTCAACTTCACGTGACTGAAAGCGTTCATAATTTAAAGTTAAATGATTAGAAATATAAATTACCACTCCACCAGTCTATGTGTATAAGTTTAGACACGTTTGTAGAAAACACTAAAAAGGCAATCTTCTAAACAATTTTAAAATATTTACAACTTTAATTATATAGAAATGTTCATAACACAGTAAGTAATTCCATTAGTTGCATAAGCTTTTACGTGAGTCTTTTTAATTAATTGAAAATTAAGTCTGTAATAACTCTTAAAATAGCTCCTGTACCGGTACTTGATAATTGCTTGATTTCTAGCAACGAGTACACAAGTTAAAAATTCAACAATGCATTAACATAACAAGCTCTCTTTCACGCTGCAAGACTAGTAAACGGCAGAAGTAAGGCAGAACGGCAGAACTGCGGTATTGGTTTACCATACACGCCTGCAACGATGCGCTGCAAACCGCGCGACGAGTAGCTAAATGAACCGTAGAGTAAGTGAGCCTTCTAATATTTGTAGAGGGTTCACTTACTCTACAGATCATTGTGCCAATGAACTGTAGAGTAAGTGAGCCGTCTTCTATTTGTGTAATAGTTATCATGAAATAGGCTCGTATAGTATACGAGCCTACTCCTGTAATTTATTTAAATTCAGTATTTTGGCTCGTATACTATACGAGCTTATTCCTGAATTATTCAAGAATTCATACGCTTGGCTCATAGGCACAATGATCTGTAGAGTAAGTGAACCCTCTTAATTTATTTGATATTTTTGATCGGCTCGTATAGTATACGAGCCTGTAGTGCAAGTGAACCTTCAATATTATTTACGAAGCTCGTATAGACTATGATTTGTAGAGTAAGTGAGCCATGTGTTTTAAGAATTACATATTTGGAGGCTCATTGTGTCAATGATTCGTAGAGGGAATGGGCACACGGAAGGGACTAAGGCTAAAGGTGTAGTGACGTCATATCTCTAGTGGTTAATGTCTTCTCTTGAGGCGACACGAATACCGTAACGAAACGATGTGATTTCAGCGGCGTTCGTGGCATAGTTGGTAGCGTTTCGGATTGGAGTTCAGGAGGTCTGGGGTTCGAAACCCGCTGGCAGCACTAACTTTTTGTCAACAAATTTTTCATATCAGCAAGTTTGGTTGGTTAGGTTAGGTTATGACAGTTTAATTTTATAATACTAAATTTTAAAATTAATTTTATAATTAATTAAAAATTATAAGTAATCATTAATTAGATTTTTTCTTATATAGTTTTTATATTATCAGCAAGTCTGGTTGGTTAGGTTATGTTATGACAGTTTAATTTTAAAAATTAAAAATTTATTTTATAATTTTAAAACAATATTTTATAATTAAAAAGTTAATTTTATAACTTATAACAAAAAATAAAAAATAAAAAATTAATTTTTCAACTTAGCAGTCCTAGCGGCGAACGCTGACACTACAAGATATGTTAGCCTTAGTCCCTCCCGTGTGCCCCACCGATTCGTAGAGTAAGTGAACCCTAACCTTAGTAAACCTTGTTCGATTTTTCATTATCAGCAAGTTTGGTTGGTTTGGTTAGGTTATGACAGTTTAATTTTATAAATATTCATTTTTTAACTTATTGAAAAACTGCAGCATAGATATATGAAATGCATGTCAAACAACGCGGGCTTGTTTGGACGCCGTCTGGAGGGGAGGTGGAGGGAGAATCATTTCCCCCACTCCGCAGCGCCAGGGGACAACATCGTGATGATTTAGCGAAGGTTTAGACTCCAGCCAGACCGCTCCAGTGCCAGTGACAGAATAGAGGTGGCCGTGGTGTCGTCTGCATCGAGTCCGAGTGAATGAATGAGAGGATTTTGTTTGTGTGGTGTGAAAGTGGTATTGTTTTTTTAGTGAATGAAAACTCTATAATCTCGGATGATTTTGGTTTGAATTGAAGATTATAATTGATATAAAAAACTGTTCTTTCTTACCCAAACTTGAATCTCCAAAAATTCTCAGGTGAGTTAAAATCTCATGATGCAATGTTTGTACTTAGGTTAATGTTTTAACATAGGCATAAGCCTAGCAATTTGTTTAACGAATTTCCTTAGCAATTAATTATCTTCACGTACATTGGGGCATTCATAAAAAAATACATTTAGTTGACAAAACGTTTGTTATTTTCAAGAGCTTTTATAGAGTCAATTTTTAACCTTGACTTAATCATTTTAGTTGTACGGTACCTTGTTCTTTGTAAAGAAAAAGAAGTAAATATCAATATAAATATTAGAAATAGGCCCTAATTTCCTAATTCTGTATATAATATTATGGTCCAGCTTTAAATTATTAAATAAACTGGTAACTTAGGTACTTGTTCAATATCCTTTGATTTTGTCAGATAGCCTAATGACTGGTTTTGTGATGGCGGTCACATCATCAGGTCCATCCTCGTAGAACGACTCGTTAAATACACTAAAAGTTTACACCGAATACAGGAGACATTATATTTACAAAGTATTTACAATTATTTTCTTGAACTGAGATAGAATACATTGTGGTGCGTGCACGTCGAGCCGGTCACAACTGTTCAGCCTTACTCAAGACAACTTCTTTTGTTCTAATGTTAGGTATTTTAACTTAGACTCTATTGTATTTCATTTATTAATCAGGACCCCTTTAACTACCCACAGAGAAGTAAGAAACTGAGGATACACTCCACGGTAAACTTAACTGGTGTGTAGCATTAGTAGGCTAGTGGTTTCTTGTTAAAAGTCCAACACCACCCCCTTGCCCTCATGTTCGAATAAACGTATGTTTGCACGTTTCTACCAAATTTCATCAAAATCGGACCATTTTGCTCGAGTTAACGTGCTAACGGACACACACATAGCCTATATATATAGGCTACGGTATATTAAAAATTAAAAACATAGTTAACAAAGTACCGTACCCTTTATAAATATTTATTTTATTTTGATTGATGACATGTTTCGGAAACTTAAGTCCATTACGGTATTAAGTCATATTTACCATAGGTAACCTTATTCTTGTATAGTGGTGTTTAAGAATGAGGTTATGGTAATGTGACTTGATAATGGACTTAGTTTCCGAAACATGTTGTCAATCAAAATAAAATAAATATTTAAAAAGGGTACTTTGTTAAGTATGTTTTTAATTAGCCTACTTTCTCCCCCTATACCATAGTATATGGAGAAAGTATTGTTTTCGTCAAAATTTTCGAGTTTGAGTTTTGAGTGGATATATTCGTTAAAAAAGTGGTTTTCGAAGTGATGTCTGTGTGGGTGTGTCTGGATGTGTACAGAGCTAGGGACTACACCTGTGGTCCGATTTCGATGAAATTTGGTATGTAGGTTCTAATCTATGGTACCGTATCTCCAGGCGTTTTTTTCATTTTTTTAAATTTTGATTTTTAATGGGGATTTTCCCATAAAAACTTATAAAAAACAGGAAAAATTGGATTTTCTCAAAAATGGCCCCAACGATTTTGATAAAAATGTAGTATGTTGTAGCCCTTTAAATTCTGAACAAAATGGTACAAATCCCATTTCTGTAAAAATTACGGTTTAAAAGTTATTGTAAATTATGTTATTTTCCCATAAAACCCCATAAAATAACGGAAAAATTGGATTTTCCCAAAAATTGCCCGAACGATTTCGGCAAAAAATTTAGTATGTTATAGTCCTTTATATTCTGAACAAAATGGTACAAATCCCATTTCTGTAAAAATTACGGTTCAAAAGTTATTGTAAATTAGTTATGTTATTTTCCCATAAAAACCCCATAAAATAACGGAAAAATCGAATTTCCCTAAAAATGGCCCGAACGATTTTGATAAAAATTTAGTATGTTATAGTCCTTTAAATTCTGAACAAAATTGTACAAATCCCATTTCCGTATATTTACTCTCTCTGCTTACACATGATAAAGGTTATGACAAACTTATGGGAGAAAGTATGTGTCAGAATGCTGATACCGTCTATTTTTATTATATAACTAGCCCTAAACATACAAGAAAATAATATACATATAATTATTATATACATATCTATATAATTAATACGCTACTGGTACATGAAACTTTGTCAGTTGAACTCCTCCGCCATTTCTTAACCGATTTTATCCATTGACGTCTCATTGGAAAGAGCGTTTCGCGTAGATTTGCAAACTGGCCTTCCATTTTTTTAAAAGTCCCTTGGGCTCTGCCCCAGTGGCTGTTAAAGTTCCCATGTTATCCTTATGGAGAACATGATTGTTTACATTTTGATCAGCTGTATAATCATTGACTATTGGATACAGAAGTTGTATTAATAGTCAAAGGTATAATTTAATTGCTGTTATTTATTTTTCAATTCAATGAAACTTGTTATCTAGTTGCATGTTTTCTTGTAGTATTTTATCGACTGTTATTGTTTCCAAATTTCTATCTACTAGTTAACCGCCCGTGCTTCGCCACGGGAATATTGTCAGCAATAAAAGAAATAATAATTAACAAATACTGTTTATCTTTGTATTTTGTTTAGGGGTTGTTTAATTTTTTATATGAAATAGAACTGATAGTTTACCTGTATAAACTATTTTATGTTAATCAAACCGATATATTATTTAACCAAATGAATGTTTTATATTAATTCGAGTTTCATTTGAAAAATAAATAGTATACGAACTGGGCAATGCTGATAACCTAATAAGCAGCTATTTATGATATTTAGATAATTTCGTCAAGTATATTCCTATGTTCGTCGTTTTTTTTCATTACATTTGTTGTATGGAATAAAGATAGTCACTTAGTCTACATGTAAATCACGCATCAGCAGTTGGTCGCATTTCACGAATCTTTGACCCATACTGTGAGTAAAAGCTGTGTTTACGTCGTATATATAAAGTTGGGCATACTTTGTCCAATGTTAGAGGGTATTAACGGTCCAATTTGATGGAAAAGGAGTAGTGGATTTTAAAACTATGTAGACTACCACTACCAGAAAGATGTTGATTCAAGTGAGACTTAGAACTGGCCATTTCAAATGCAGATTTGTATTATATGTTACTCAAATAGTTTTTTGTCTCTTTTGACCCTTAATACTTATTTTATAGTCGCTGTTGATAAGATTTTCCATTAACTCAAAATGTTGATAAGGAGCTCATTTTACCCCAATTCAAAAAATTGGTATTTTTTAGAAGGGACTTCCAGAGCACATTTAACACCATCACTGCTCTTTACCTTTTTAGTTCGATGGTTCTCTACATTTTTTTTCGTTCTGTATGTCTCTTTACGCCCGGTTAATGATTACCTTTTCTTTTTCTTTATAACGCTATAATGACCCGAGTCAACATTACCATTAAACATCAAGTCAGATACTTCTTCGCCAGAACCGAAATCGTAAGTCACAGTTTCTCAAGCAACTTCCCTGTGTAGGCCTACTCGAACAAATATAGTTAGGGTATAGTTCACTGATAAATTGTAGTTCCAAATATCCCAGCGTACTCGCCATCTCGAGAAGGTAAAATTTGGACGTCGAACACTGATCTTGAGTAAGATTAATCACTTGATAAAATGTTTGTATGTTTACCAATCATTAGCAATTATCTGTACAACTTGCAAGCGGATTTCCCTATGACTGTTCTGGTGGCTATAGAAAATAAATTATATTGATCAAAAGAATAAGTTTCCGTCCCCTACTATGGGTATTATTTCACATTCCATACTCAAACTTAAACTCAATTACCACTTTCCTTCAGATCACTTTGCAGAAAAACTAAAACATTTTTGTGTCCCAGTTAGTCTGTTCTGACTCGAAATTCATAGATTTAAAGTAGTGACAAATCCAATCTAACGACCCCAGTTCAAAAGAGTTGGTATTTTTTGTAGGGACTTCCAGAGCACATTTAACACCAACACTGCTCTTTACCTTTTTAGTTCGATGGTTCTCTACATTTTTTTCCGTTCGGTATGTCTCTTTACGCCCGGTTAATGATTACCTTTTCTTTTTGATTTTGTACTTTTCACACCCTGGGGTTAATGATAAAGTTTTATAACGCTATAATGACCCGAGTCGAGTCAACATTGCCATTAAACATCAAGTCACATACTTCTTCGCCAGAACCGAATGGGAAGTCACAGTTTCTCAAGCAACTTCCTTGTGTACTTGAAACAAAAAAAATTACTGTTATATTGTAGTTACACGTATCCCAGCGTACTCGCCATCTCGAGAAGGTAAAGTTTGGTACCACTGAATGTCTAACACTGATCTTGAGTAAGATTCGTCACCTACTATAAAATGTTTGTATGTTTCCCACTCATTAGCAATTATATGTACAACTTGCAAGCGGATTTCCCCATGATTATTCTGGTGGCCGTAGAGAATAAATTATATTGATCAAAACAATAAGTTTCCGTTCCCTACTATGGGTATTATTTCACATTCCATACTCAAACTTAAACTCAATTACCACTTTCCTTCAGATCACGTTGCAGGAAAACTAAAACATTTCAAAAATAAGAACAGAAACTCCAAGTTTAAGAGGGTTCCCTACCCCCATTGAAAAACGTCAGAAAACCGCTTCGCGCGGTATCATATAGCGATTCTAGTTTTGACATTTAAATTGTGAACCAAACACCATTTTGTACATAAAGAGTGGTTCTACTAAGTTTGCTTTTTAAAAAATGTCTATGCTTACGCAATCAAGGGCAACGACTTGTCAAAGTTAGTGAACTTTACAGTTAAAGTTCACTAACTTTAACAAGTCGTTGCCCTTGATTGCGTAAGCATAGACATTTTTTAAAAAGCAAACTTAGTAGAACCACTCTTTATGTACAAAATGGTGTTTGGTTCACAATTTAAATGTCAAAACTAGAATCGCTATATGATACCGCGCGAAGCGGTTTTCTGACGTTTTTCAATGGGGGTAGGGAACCCTCTTAATAATTGCATACTGAAAGTGAGGCTATAAAAATAATAACAAATGTCTGACAAATATTAAACAGCTGACGAATAATTTAT